ACGGTTTGGTTTTATTCAAACACACCCTAGTAGAGGTCCTAAAGATGAGAAAGGAAGTTAAAGCAGTTTCAGGGACTAAACTGCAAAGTGAAAGTTTTTAAGGGGCTAAAGGATAATCAAAGTTAGAAGCTCCAGTAAAGTCTCAAAGGCCTAGAAAGAGAAAAGAGGCTAGATACAGACCAAAAGTTAAGTTAAAAGCCTCAAAGAGATGGTTTTATGAGGTTGAGCCTAAGCAGGGGTAAAACCGTAAATTCAGAAAGTTACGACCATCAGGGGTAAAAATGGAAAGTACTTAGAAAATTCTAAGAAAATCTCAGAAAATGGAAAATAATATTCTAAGGCTCTTTTGTGAAGAGAGATGATGAAAATACTTCTGAGGTAACTTAAAAGGAATTTATAAGTTTATGGATCAATTTGAGATGTAGAAGTAGATTTAATTGTTTGAGTCATAAGGAAACCTCAGAAAATTATGGTAAAATGGGGATGTATGATCTAAGAGACTATAGAAAATTATAAAATTAGTCTTATCCCCAGAAGACCAGCAAAATGGCTTTAAGAATACTTAAAAGCCAGTTGTGCTGAAAAAGGGCATTTTAAAGAATGATTTTTAAGTGGGGCTACAGGTTGAGTTATGACCTGAGAAAATTCACAGATTTTCTCTAGAATATGAGGAATTTTATAATATTTTTGGATGAATTTTTAGAGCTCTGGATTGAATAAAATGCTCCAGTCAAATATTAAATAATTTTGTCTCCTAAATAGGAGACAAAACCAAAAAAAATATCTAAGAGCCGTCATAACGATGCTGAGTCATCAAGCGTAATCATGACACCGATGAGTCATCATGCTGAGTCATCAAGCGTAATCATAACACCTACGAGTCATCATGCTAAGTCACCAGAAGATATTTATGGACAGTATAAAAATCAAAACGCAGTATGGAAATATTTTAGACAGTCTTTTGTCTACCCATTATAGTGAAATTTCTACTGCATGACTCAATAAGGTCAAGTAGCCTGTCAGCAAAGCTAATTATTTTCATCTATGCTCTTCTAAGATGGCGCCATATATGTACCTTTTATTGGCCAGAATTTTAAGAAGAAGTTGTCCTAACGGTACAGGGTAAGTCAAGACTCGAAAAGTATTTGATATGGTGCAAGATTGGCTTGATAGGTGGAGAAATAATTAAGAAAATATTTTTGCACGAATTTTTCATTTATTTTTCTCCCTATTTTAATGCCATAAATGATGAAAGGACATGAAAGTGACAAGTGTATGGTTAGACGAGAAAAAGAAAATATTACGTGTACGGCTAGATGGAAGACACATGTACGTCGGATGCAAAACACATGTGCGGTTGGATTAAAGACATGTGGCTTGATGATGTAAGCATGATATCATCATGATGAGGTAAGCATGATGTCATAGGACACTTGTCACTGTAAGATCAAAAGAGAAAATGGACGGTCCAGATCGAGCCACGTATTTTTAAGATCAACGGTCCAGATTCAGTCTGCTTTTCTATAAATACCCCCTCCCCTCCCTACCATTTCGTCCAAGCATAAGGAATCCATGGGGAAGCTCTTGCAAAATAGTTTCTAGAGAGAGAGAGAAGAGGGAGAAAGAAAAGCCAAGTGGTTCCAAGCCAGATCAAACTCTAAAACAAGGTATGTGATGGTTATAGCACCTGATTTTATGCCTATTTCGGATTAGTTATTGTGCGTATCTGATTCTGAAATTTTGCATGCTTAAAGTACATTCTGTGAACTTTAAATCCATGGGTAGAACACTTGATTTGGATATATGTACAATTTATGGTGACTTTTTTAAAGTTAGGGTTTGAAATCTGGAAACAGTGTTGAACTTTTGGAAGAGTTTTGATTTCCGTACAATTTTGCTGCTGTTCGGCATAGAATTGGTTCATGAAACTAATTTTATTGTAAATTTAACTTAAGGAGCTTTCAATGAGACTTGGAACCACTCAATTTGGATTTTTCTAGAATTAATTATGAATTTTCAAAGTTGAGTAAAAATTCTGGAAATTCTGCGTGAACAGTACCCGCGAAGCAAAATTTCCAGATTTGGTATTCTTGAATCTACGGCCATCTAAAGTGGTCCTCATTAACAAGAAATGGATATTAAGGATGGGAAATGATATGATTTATGTTAGAAAAGTTAGAAAGAAAACCCTAAGACTAAGAGAAAGGGTTGAGGTTCAAGAAAGCTAGTCTTGAACTTTATGTAATCTAGTGGTCCTAATGGATTGTATGATCAATGTGACTATGTTTAGGACCTTTGGAACATCCAAGAGGATGTTTGGTGATGTTGACCGAATGTCCACATGGTTGGAAAGACAAGGGAATCAAAGGAAAAGCAAGGGGAAAGCCATGTTACAAGGTAGTGAACTTACCTATACTGTGTGCTTGATATGTATGCTTGCATGATGTGGTTGTGTTGCCATGATGTGACTAAGCTATGATGAAATGTTTGCAAAGTTATGTTTGCAAGTTTATGTTATGTTTTGCCTTGGCAATATGTTATGGAAGCATGAAATCCTTTAGCTTACTTTCCATGGCATTCATGTGTTAATGTTATAACATGTCATGCATGTGCATTATGTCTTGCATGCTCATGGGTAATGTTTGCTACTGAGATTCCCCCGAATCTCACCCCTCCCTAACCAACTATTTAGGTCAATCAATGATGGACAATAATGACATGAGAAGCAAGGAGAAGTAAGCTTGTTAATGGATGAGACTGTTGATAAATGTATAATTCTACTATTTTATGAACTATGTTATGGATGCCAATGATGTCATGTATTTAATTATAATATTTATGGTATGAATGAAAGTGTATGAGCATGAACGGGAAAGAATAAGGCCATGTTATGTATGCCAAAGAAATAAAAAGAATTAAAGAAATGTTAAGGGATAAAACGTAAGTCCTGGAGCAGTGAGTTTGTAGCTCCAGTTTAACCTACCAAATGATTGAGTTAGGTCATAAGATTTGGTAAACAAAGATATCTGATATTTCTCTTTAAAATGAGGGGTAGTTTGCCCGATTCTGATATCCGAGCAGAAAGTTATGCGTTTTCAAAGTTAGGCAAAAATACAGTAAAATCAGAAAAATAACCAAATAAACAGTAACTTTTTCAAAGGAAATTGAGCTCGAATTTCAAGGCAATCAGTTCAGAAACTATTTTTCCTCAAAATTTTATCCAAAGAACTTTCTGTAGAACTTGGAATCACTCAATTTTAATTTTTCTACAATTAGTTATGAACTTTCGAAGTTTGTCAGATTTTAAGGTGACAATGAATAGTAACCCGTAAATGAAAATTTTCAAACTTGATTTTTCATCAATTGTAGCCTTCAAAAGTGATTCCAAATGCTTCTGCAATGAAAGTTAATTGATTTAAACATGAGGTGTTACATAAACAATCTCTCAAAAGGCCATTAATATGATCTTGGATGCTTAGCTGCTGCTGAAGCAATTTGATCATATTCTCATCCGTAGAGTGAATATACAAATCATGAGATGCAGGCGAGGAGTTTCACTATAAATAAAAGAGCTCACCTTAATGGAGGATAAATGAACGAATCATTTTAGATAATTTCTTTTATCGCAAGAGAATATATGAAAGAGCTCCCTTGGTAAAAGATCTTAATTTGAATCCTAGATAATATACTTTTTTTGAAAATAAATTTTACATGGTATGTGGATATTGCTGTACTAATTTGTTAACCGGGGGCTGACCTGTGGGCTGGGAAAAAGCTAACATGCCAACCTTTTCAGAGTGTATTGTTCGAACTCACACACACACATAATGATCCAGTTAATCCGATTTAAAGTTTGTGACTTCCCTCCCTATAAAATCAAACTCGAGAGTTAAGAGAATTTAGGTGGACTTCATACCGGTAGACCATCTTTTTGTTGGTAGGGTGTATTATTGAATTAGTGGTAATAGAATTGGCTTTTATTTTACCTCATTTTTGCAAATTTAAGTTAGATTTATTTTTCAGTTAAAAATAACATTTAGCCCTACTCTGATAAGATAAGTGATAATATAATCATGATAAGCATGCTAGCTTCTCAACATATATGATTTACAACATCATGCATAAATAATGATATATGCATACATTTGGTCTCCTTTGGCCCAGTTTGATTGGCACTAACGAGAGGTAATCACTTATCATTGAAACACAATTGAGAGATGTGAAATATCCATTTACATGAAGTTTTAGGTAAACCATACATTATTCTGTCTAAAAATAAATTATATTTAATATTTTATAAATAGTGTAATTTTTGTATAAAATTTATAGTATAATATTGGGATATTGATGTATTCATTTTTTAACTAATTTGTTTCAAGTGCCGACGTTATTAGTACTCATCATACTTTGATGTTTGTAGTATTCTTTCTCCTTCTTGGGACTATATGATGTCTAACTTGAATGAGAAACTCCGAGTGCATTCAATTACTTATGCTCCCAAGGTCCATACGTTTGACAATTTTGATTCCCATAGCTTGGTGAATATAATTCTAATTTTACCATACATTTATTTAAATATCATCATACATAATTATTAAAATTCTTTAAATTGGAGAGAGGAAAAATTAATAACTTTAATTTTTTAAACAAAATTTTAATTAATAAAATTAAGCCTTTTAAAATTTTTAACGAATGTTATTAAGAATGATAAAAATTAAATTAAAGTATATGTTTTAAAAATAGAGGAGATTTTACTTTAATTTTAGAAAATTTAAATGAAGGTTATTGTATTTTATTCTAATTGTATAGCCAGTCCTGTGTTTGAAATAGCGTTTGGGGTGAGTTATAACAAATACGGCTTTTTTTAACAGATTTTATATAATATATTATATTTAGTTAATTTGATATATATATATATATATATATATATATATATATGATTTTGTAACTAATGTGCCGACCTTTTAGTTTAGTCATGCCAAGCTCTTTTCTTTTCTTGTTTTGGTAAGCACTTCACTCTTTTCTTTATTTTTCTTTATAGATTATGACCAACTTGGATGAGAAACACCGAAATGCACCAAGCTAATTAAACTAAATATTATTATTTACTGTGAACAAGAACAAATAAACAGCTTCGAAATGTAGTTTAGTATTACAAAAATAATACACCTCACATAGTTTCTTACAAGACATCCGATAAAACTGAAATGATTCGAAGAGGATTATCATAATTTCTGTGCACAAATTAAGGACAAAAAATACATCTCACTTATATATTTGATTTATATATATCTCTCTTTGTGTGACTTACTCCTCTTGTCCTACTTATAGGTAGAGAGATAAGATATTTTTTAGTTATATTTATAGGATATTGAGAGAACTTTTTTACATAGATATACAATTTTACTTTTTATTTATTATTATATTGAATTTATTTACCTGAAATATAATGTATATTAAATTAAAAAAATAAAAAATTATTAAAATTTAAAATTTTATCTCTCCATTTAATGCAGTGCGAAAATTCTCAGTAAGAGGGGGGAAAAAAATGGCAGTTGCGTGAACTACTGAACTCAGAGTTGTCAGGCGGGTCTATGATCTGCACTAATTGAGAAGACTTGATTACCCTTTGCAAATTAGTAAAATACCAAATAAGCCCACCCAACCGGCTCTACGGCTCCACCCACTTCTATATTACCACACAACCAGATCTGAGCGAAACTTCAATTGGAAAGTCTAGTCACGCAAGATACCGTTGCTCTGGTCCCTTTTATAGATTGGACAGACTACTTTGACCCACACTGAAAAGAATATTTTGTATAAATATATCATTTTATTTTTTATTTATTATTATATTAATTTTATTTATACGAGATATAATATATATTTAATAGGAATAAAATTAAAAAGTTATTAAATTTTAAATAAGAATTAATAAAATTTAAAATTATATATATATATATGAAATTTATTAAAAAAAATTTATAAATAGGATGAAAGTAGCACGTGCAATTTATAGCATCAGAACTCCACCTTCCTTTTCTCTTCCCGGAAAAATCCACCCCTTACTTTCCTTCACTTTCCCAGTAACCAAAAACAGAGATGGAAACTCAGCAAGACGATGAAGAATTCATTTTCCGTTCCAAACTGCCCGACATTTACATCCCATCCCACCTACCATTGCACGGTTACTGCTTCCAGAACTTGTCACTATTCAAAGACCGTCCCTGCCTTATCAACGGCAACACCGGCGAGATCTTCACCTACGCAGATGTCGAACTCACCGCCCGGAAAGTCGCCGCCGGTCTCAACAACCTCGGCATCCAACAGGGCCACGTCATCATGCTCCTCCTCCAGAACTGTCCCCAATTCGTCTTCGCCTTCCTCGGCGCCTCCTACCGCGGCGTCACCATCACGACGGCCAACCCATTTTACACCCCGGCCGAGGTCGCCAAGCAAGCCACAGCTTCCCAAGCCAAGCTCATCATAACACAATCATCCTTCGTCGACAAGGTTAAGGATTTAGAGACAAAGAGTGGCATCAAATTGATGAGTATCGACGAGACGACTGATTTTCTCCGCTTCTCGGATTTAACGAACGCCGACGAAGGGGGGCTCCCGCCACTGAATATCTCCGCAGACGACGTCGTTGCGCTGCCTTATTCATCAGGCACCACAGGGCTTCCTAAAGGGGTTATGCTCACCCACAGAAATCTAGTAACAAGCGTGGCTCAACAGGTTGATGGAGAGAACCCTAATCTGTATTTTAAAAGCGACGATGTGATTGTGTGCGTTTTGCCTCTGTTTCACATTTACGGGTTGAACTCTGTGTTGCTGTGTGGGCTTCGAGTCGGTGCTGCGATTTTGATCGTACAGAAGTTTGAGATGGGGACGTTACTGGAGCTGATCCAGAAACACCGAGTGAGCATTGCGCCATTTGTGCCACCCATAGTGTTGGCTCTGGCTAAGAGCCCCGACCTGCATCGATACGACCTGTCGTCTGTCAGGTTGATCTTGTCTGGTGCGGCTCCCCTGGGAAAAGAGCTCGAAGATGCCGTGAGGGAGAAGCTTCCCCAAGCCATACTCGGACAGGTAACTGATGAATTTCTACGCTACAAATTAATTTAAAAATTGCAGGGATCTTTTTGAGGACTAACAACTATGGTTTTTTTTGTTTTGCCCCTTAATATGATTAATTAATTTACTGAATCAGTATTTTTAACATGTTATGCGATCTCTTCTTTCCTCCCTTCATTCTGATGATATGTCCAAGAATTGATATTCTTTCTTCCTCCATTGATGAGAGATCTGCATAATTATGGTTATTTCTACTTGGGTTTATAGTTAAAGTACGTGTCATTGGGAAATAAGATTCTATATAAAAAGGTTGGGTTCTAATATAAATAAAGTACTCCTCCGATCCTTAATATAAGACCTATTTAACTAATTTGATTAGATTAAGGAAGTTAGGTAAGTTAGTTAATTATAAGAAAAATGACACATTTTTCCTAAAACACTATAATCATCTTTCTTAATACCTCTCTCCCTCTTCTACTTGATTATGGTTGAGGGAGTATTTATAGGGGTAATTTAGAGAAAATTAATAAATATGAGAAATGGGTCTTATATTTAGAACCAAAACCAACTCAAGAATTGGGTATAATACATAAATATTCACATATTTTTAAATATCTAAAAAATTAAAACCCTGCCTTATCCTCTCTCTCTTCTTTTTTTGGGGCCTACTTATTTACTTATACCGTTAAAATTTAAGATAATTTCAAATTTTCAATAATCCAAAAGAAAAGTCATAAAAATGCATGAGATTTAATATAGACACCAATAAATTCGGTTTGCATAGAGTAGAGTCAAATTTGCATTAAATGTAACGAAAGAAACAAAAGCACGACAGCCATATATGGACTTGGATGCTTTCCTTATCCTAACTCCGATATTTATATAACATAACAACTAGTTAACTAATTTAAATATATTAAAAAAAACTAATTAATTAAATTAGTTATTTGTAATAAATAGATATTATCTTTTTTAAAATATCCTTGTTAATCAAGTATATTGGCTAGAACTATTATTGTTATAAAAACTACTTTGAGAAAAAAATACATAAATATGACAGACAAAGTGGATTGGGGTCTTATATTTAAAATCAAAATAAAAGTTAAACAAAATTTTATATTAAGAAGCAGGGGTAATACGTTTTTTTTTTCTCCTCTCCTCATCTTATTGCGATCATTATAAAAAAAAAAAAAGTTGAAATTCGATACTTTATAGAGTCCTGATTTTTGTAATTTTTATTTAGTTTTAAGTTACGAAATGTTCGGATCAAAAATTATTTATTTATTTATTTTTACGTAATATCATCATAACCATAATTTTTGTCCCTAAGATACTGAATATCAGCCGTTCATTTTTTATTCGACGATAAAGATGAGAGAAGGAGAGAAGATTAAGTGGGAAATACAATTCTGACAATGACTGATTATTAAAAGACATAATTAAGATTCAAAAGTATTAAAAATAAAAGATAAGGATTAAGAGCGAGATTGAGAAAATGTATCAAAAAAATATTTAGTATGAGAGATTATTTGTTATATGAGATTAGACAAACCTATATATATGGAATTGAGAAATACTATTGGAGAAAGATGGCATTCCCCAATTCTACTTTTATGGATTTGTTTAGTCTTATATAATAAGTAATTATTTATAATAAATATTTTTTAATAATTTTTTTAACTACAATCTTAATTTTCATCTCTCATTTTTAACTGTTTTTGTACCAGGGGGATCTAAAAGTTTGTCCTGGAAATTGATTGCTGGTAGTTTATTCTTAATATATACATTTGGAAACTCTGAATGATGGTGAAAGTGCAGGGTTATGGAATGACGGAGGCAGGGCCAGTGCTGTCAATGAGCTTAGCGTTTGCGAAAGAGGCGTATGGGGTAAAATCAGGTGCGTGTGGGACCGTCGTAAGAAACGCCGAGATGAAGATCGTCGACCTTAACTCCGGCGCATCCCTTGGCCGCAACCAACCCGGTGAGATTTGCGTCAGAGGACATCAGATCATGAAAGGTACGTATACAAATACAACCTCCTGTCCTAATTATAAGAGTCAATTAACTAATTTGAGGAGATGAAAGAAGTAAGTTGAGTTAGTTATTTGTTCTAAATAGGTGTTGTCTTTCCTAAAACATCATTACTAATCAAGTGTATTAACTAGAACTATAATTATTAGAAGGATTATCTTGGAAAAAATTGAATAAATATGAGAGGCAAAATAGATTGAGATCTTATATTTAGGATTAAAATAAAAATCAAACAGAGTCTTATATTAAAGACCGGAGGTAGTATTTTTTTAACGTGCGAAAATGGAATGAAATGAACAAGGAAATTAAATTTAAAAAAATGCTTTTCTGAAAATGCAACATGTGTTATAGGTCTTTAAATAAAAATTAATAAGACAAAATAGTCATTTCCAATTAATTGATGATTAATTAAATATTCATCCAAAGACGTCTGCAGAACTGTATAGTGTATACTCATTCAAAGGGGACTGAATTTTACTCAATTTCACGGGGAGACCACATTACATACACACGCATATTCCTTTCTATTCACAATGTAAGTCACTTTAGCTAATTATTAGAACATAAAAATGTTGTTAATTCATTAAATCGATTTCAAATTGAAAGTTTTTTCCAACTTTACCTATATTAAAAAAGGTTGTGAAAGAGAGAGAAAAATAAAAGGAGGCACATTATATTTAAACATTAGTTGTAAGGATAAAATTGACAAATAAATATTAATTACTCTTTAAGTAGTTTATATTTCGGATTTAGCCATTTTTTAGAAGCCACTTATATTATAGACCGAACGGAGTAATTATACTGATAGATACATGTATGTATCATTATTAATGCACGATGTTGCAGATCATAAATGTTGTGAAGTAGAGCTAGAATGATTATGACTTATCAGAATAGTACTCTATATATATATATATATACACACACTATTCGGTCTTAATTATAAAATTTTGTTTGTAGTTTATAAACGAGATTTTATAATTAGTATCAGAAGTTAGTATACAGTAACAATGGATCAAGTGGGTGATGATGACGTGGACAGGTTACATAAACGATCCAGAGGCAACGAAGAGAACAATAGACGAAAAGGGATGGCTGCACACAGGTGATATTGGTTACATAGACGATGATGAAGAGCTGTTCATTGTGGATCGCTTAAAGGAACTCATCAAATACAAAGGCTTCCAAGTTGCTCCTGCCGAGCTTGAGGCTCTCCTCATTTCTCATCCTTCCATTTCTGATGCTGCCGTTGTTCCGTACATGCACACACCCTTACTTATTTCCTTCTCTCATCTCGTTCGTTCTTATATACATCACACACACCTACATTATATTTTGATCGGGCGAGTACAGTGAGGAACTCTGTTTTACTATATATGGTCTTTGATACAAGGTTTAATGTGTAGTTTACATTGAACTAAAAATTGCATTTTATATTAAGAATCAGAGGTGCTGATTTAAATTATAAATTATATCTTATATTAAAGATCAAAAGTTGCATATATATATATATATAGATTATGATTGAATTGGTTAGAATGAGTTAGGGGTTGACTGGTTTTCATGGTGCAGGATGAAAGATGAAGCTGCAGGAGAAGTTCCAGTTGCTTTTGTCGTTACATCAAATGGTTCTAGGGTCTCCGAAGATGAAATCAAGCATTACATCTCCAAACAGGCAATGTCACTTTTCTTATACTTCATGCTATATACTTCTCACTCTCACTTTCATTTGTTAGATATAAATTAACTTGTTTTCATAAAAAAAAAAAGGAAAAAGAGGAGAAAATCGTTTTGTGGTCTTCAAAAGAAATGTAATTATTAAAAAAAAATTATCATAACATGTGAATTATAAGTTTTCATAAAGAAAATGACGACAAAATCCATGATGCTCACTTATTATTTGGATTTTTTAGTGGTAGTTATATTAATTCCTTGAAACCTCACAGTAATTCTCCTAAAAGCTTCATATATGTGCATATATATATATATATTATGTTTTCTTCTTTTGGCGAAAATTTGGGATCATATATTCTTAAATTTTTAAGATTTCTAATAAACTAGACTGATTACAATCACAAGAAGAAGTCAACCCATCGCACCAGAATGAACATACACGTACCTCCGCTTGATGTTTTCCTTTCCCCTTTCGTCTCTTCCCATAACGACGGAGGGGCGCTGCTTGCCTCTGTATCTTGTCCAGCAGCTTTAAATATATGAGGGCAGAACTTCCCAAGAGTTAGGTGAAACTTTACTAGCTTGATAAGCCAAGACTTGAATTAGGGTGTCACCATAAAGATTTTTGTGTTCCTGTTGTTATCCCCACACACCTAAAAAGCCACAGCTACATATTAATTGATTGGCCAAAATCATACACTCCACATCATAAGATCTAATTTTTTGAATGTGTTTATTTTTTTTTATAATATTCTCTTTGAATTTGTTTGAATATTTAATGCATTATTACTTATTTTATTCTTAATTTAATACATTTAATTAATTTTTTTTATTTATCTCACTGGTACTCTCTCACATTTACCCATTTATATATAGGGGTATATTTAAAAAAAATTACATTTCCTACATATTAATTACTTTTAACTAATTTTAACTGTTTTTTTAAACCACGCAATTTAATTAAAATAATCTTGTAATAAAGGACGGAGAGAGTATACATGTCGAGTAAGAAAATTAATTTGAATTGACACTTTCGGAGAAACAAAAATTGAATTTTTACTAGTAGGTTTGTTGAAGAACTTGCTTAACACTATATGCAGAATAATTTGTAAACTTCTAGAGTTTCGCTAAGAATTTTATACAAGTCCTCGTGTAATATACGAGTAAAATTTAAAACATGATAGCTTATCCAATGTTTTTGTACAAGTCCTTTTAGATACGTATTAATAATAAATTAAATTTAACCAATTAATTAGTTTTTTTTTACTTACCTAAACTCGTCTGTAATTTTTTTCAAATAACCATTGTTGAACATTTGAAATTCAATGATCTTAAAAGTAAGCAGCATTTTCTAATGCTCTTTCGTTATTGTTAGTGAACTTCGGCTTTTTTTTTTTTTGGTGGTTGTTTGAGCAGGTTGTATTTTACAAGAGAATCAATAGGGTCATCTTCGTAAACTCGATTCCAAAGGCCCCCAGTGGCAAGATATTGCGCAAAGACCTAAGAGCAAGACTCATACCAAGTTAGGCCTGTTAGGTCCAAATCCCAGCCCACACAAATATGGGCCCAAATGACCCGGCCTGGTATGTTACGGGGTGTAGTGTTGTTGTTGTACTTGTTATGATGGTGATGATGATGCGTGTAAATGTGGAATGTGAGAGGAAAACTCATCCAAGGTGTCACACTTAATTTACTCATAAATTATTGTATAATTGGAGTGACTATAAATAAATGCAATATTTTGACCAAGCTCTCTTGCATCCAACCAGGTAGTTTGAATTAGGGGTTGGTCAGTGAACAATGGATTTAGAAATACAATACTCCCTCCATTACTTATGATAAGAAACAATCTCATTTAATTATTTCTTATCTAAAATTTTAAGCTAATATTTTTATTTTTACTGTTATTGTATATATTCACTTGTTATTTCTCTGCAATAAATTTTCACTCATTATCTCCTATGTACTTTTTGTATAAATATAATAAGGTATAATTGAATCTACGTGTATGTATATATTAGCATTTATTCTTTTTACCTAAATTTAATTAGCATTTTGAACCATGCGATTTTGATGGTTTCTTATAAAAAGGAACCAGGAAGTATAAAATAAATAGATAGTTATTTATTTTTAACGATAGAAAAGAAAGTAGTTTGTTATTTGTAACCATCCAACTACTTTGGTTAATTTCTCGAGTGGATTATAAAAATTCTCGACAACATTATGTGAAATCCTAATTTCTTAAATGTTGGGATTTTGCAATCCGATAACACTAAAAGTTTCTCTCAAATCTTGTTAAATGTGAGATTGTGAATCCAAATCATTTATAAGGAATATTTGTTTGAATTATGACAACAAAATCCTATTATTTAGATTATATGCTAGTTAGACTAAAAAGGTTTCAGCTTTTCAAGGTAAAAGAAAAAGGAGCAATCCTTTTTCTACCAAAAAAAAAAAGAAAAGAAAAAGAAAGGTATACGCGGAAAATGATTTTAGGGGAAATACTTTTAATTAAGCTCATCAATGATCAAGTAAATTAAAAAAAAAAAAAGAGGGGACACAGTAACCAACAGAAGGTTGGTGGTAGTATATAGATCGAATTGAAACTGTGGGCTAAGAGCTCTGGTTCTATTTATAAAGCACTTCCAGTATATTTTATATAGATTAAGAAAAATCTTAAACCGTGTTAACTCTTCATTAAAAT